ACTGCTGGGGACATCCCATTGCAAATCCAGAAACGCAAAGCGGGTCAGACCGTCTTCAAGAAAAAATAGCCAGTGAAGCCCGGGCACGGGAGACTCATAAAAATGGAAAAAAAAGAGAGGCAAGTCCCTTGCTTGAGGCACTCAGCGCCGCAGCAAAAAACATCGCGGAAATAGCCCATTCAAGCAGGCGCAAACTTAATCAAGCAGGGGACACAACAAGAGCCATACTGGGCAGTCCATCAAGAGCTCCACCAAAAAGACCATACTGTAAGATCCAGCCACCCAGAACACCCGGGAAAATAAATATACATCCACCACCTCTAAAACAACCAACAGGACTTAGAGACCACATGTTGAACGCCTTCCTAGAGTACATAGCCCTAATAAAAGCAACATCACAAGCGAACCTCGCAAAGTGCAAGGATATCTTGCACACTTACCACCTTGGAGTCGAGGAATTGCTAAGGGTTAAACTTGAGGAGGCTGAAGCCGCCATATACGACAACAAAACATCCAATGTCGTATGTGGCAAAATGGCTGACAATTACATGGTGGCATACTGCGAGTCTGCTGGCTTTGTGCCTATTATGGAGAAAGAAACGGAGAAAAGAGGTAAACCGGTGTTTGCGACTCCGCCAGGTGACCACATAGTTGTGACTGCCCGGTGCACCAAGGTTATGTTAGACGATAGGATCCTAGCCGAATCAATAATGGAAACTGTCGAATCGACGAATCCTTGGCGCAACTGGGACACACCAGAAATAACCTGGGTAAACGGGGTTCCAGGCTGTGGTAAATCAACATGGGTCGTAAACAATGTCGACGCGGCAAGCGACTTGGTGATCACCACAAACACAGAAGCAGCAAAAGACCTCAAGTCGAAGCTAGCCAACCGCATAGGTGCCGCCGCAAACAACATGGTGCGCACAATGGCCTCGGTATTGGTGAATGGCGTGAAGGAATCAGAAAAGGGTAAACTTACTCGACTCCTGGTTGACGAAGCGCTAATGAACCACTTCGGAGCCACAATAATGGCAGCTAGACTGTGCGAGGTAAAGAAAATCATGCTCATTGGTGACATCAATCAACTGCCATTCATTGACAGAGAACACCTCTTCCCAATGCAGTATACTCGGCCGAATCAAATCGCCTCCATAAACAAAGAACTGAGGTGCACACATAGGAATCCCATGGATGTAGCGTACGCCCTCAGAGAGATCTACAGCGGCGTATACTCTTCCAGGCCTCAAGTGCACTCCCTGCGCCGCGAAACCTTTGCTGGAGCCAACATACCAAAAAACTCCCCAAACACCTTATATCTAGTGTACACTCAACGGGAGAAAGAATCCCTTAAGAACCAGGGATTTGGCTCTGGCACGGGATCGCGAGTCCTAACCATCCACGAAGCGCAGGGATTAACTCAGGTTTCGGTGGTGATAGTAAAGACACAGGCAACAAAAATCAAACTCCATGAGAGTGTGCAACATGCAGTGGTAGCTGTATCAAGACACACTGCAACCTGTGTCTATTACGCTGATGACTCCAGTGACGCTTTGGGAAGATTCATAGGCGAAGCCACGAGCGCTGGAAGCAAAGCTATACTGGATTATAATTTAAAAATGGCAATCCGAGACAGGAACGCAGCGGTTACGGACAGCCTAGCTAAATTTAAGATCAAAGAGAGCCCTTGCCGCTCTCTTTTGGGTAACTGCATGGCATTCGGAAGTCTCGGAATGCACGTAGCATAAGGACTAGAATAATTATATACATATATTGTAATACTCCTTGTAGCACTCTTGTATAAAAAAAAAAAAAAAAAAAAAAAAAAAAAAAAAAAAAAAAAAAAAAAAAAAAAAAAAAAAAAAAAAAAAAAAATAAAAAAAAAAAAAAAAAAAAATAATAAAAAAAAAAAATAATATAAAAAAAATATAAAAAAAAAAAAAAAAAAAAAAAAAACAACCTAACCTAACCTAACCTAACCTAACCTAACCTAACCTAACCTAACCTAACCTAACCTAACCTAACCTAACCTAACCTAACCTAACCTAACCTAACCTAACCTAACCAACCAACCAAGGATCATAACTTACTATAGTCTCTTGCCTTTCCATGATCAAAGCATTAAAATAATCTAAGCATCAATATCGCAAAGGAGTCTCACAAAACACAACACAATTTCCATCAAAATCGTCCACTTTGTAATCGTTCTCTGTGATAATGTTAGATCCAGTAAATTAACTTACATTAACTCAGCACAATTTAAACAAAAAAAAAACTAGGCAACGAACAAAATAAAAACAAATCAATAATCTGCTAGTGTTGCATATCGATAGTCTGCTATCGTTAAAAACTTTTACCAAATTAGGTAATAGATTTTCCTACTATCACATATATACGATACTATCGTTATATTGCGACTTTTACAGACTTAAAAAAACTTAGAAATAAGCCTCGATGTGAAATGAAGTGAAAGTGAAAAATAGTGATCGATAGTCTGCTATCGATAGACAATCGATTATCTATCGATAGTTAAGGTAATAGCAATAGTATCGATAGTCTATCGAAAGTATTGTCACGTGTCAATACTGTCGATACTATCGATAGTATCGATAGCTCTCTAAGTGCCAATACTATTGATAACAGCAATACATTCGTAGTATCGATTTTGCATTTTCAATGCATGCGATAGTATCGATGGTATCGATAGTATTGCAATTGCCATTAGTTTTTGACAAAAACTATCGACACTATCGATAGCCTCGATAGGTTTGTACTATCGATAGCCAGTTAAATGCTATTGGTAGTACAAAATCATCGATAAATACTACGACAAAATAATCGACTATCGATATTATTGCTGTTATCAATAGTATTGGCACTTGGAGAGCTATTGATACTATCGGTAGTATCAACAGTATTGACTTAGACGATATTATCGATAGTAAAATCGATATCCTGAATATTTTCGAGGTCAACTATCGATAGTCAAACTATCGATGGTTGTGCAACACTACAATCTGCCATTTTTTACATATTTTAACAAGGGTGTTGCCTTATCAAAATCACAAATCCTATAATTGGCAAAATATTGTTAAAAATCCAGTTCACAGGCTTGGTTCATAATGAAGTACTTAGAAAATTAAGAATGCTTATTATTTCTTCGTTTAATTAAAATATACACAAATTATTTGTTATTAGCTACGTCCAGTTTATAGTTCACAATTGGTAAAATCTAGGTTCTAAAATTGTATTTAGAGGAATTAATTAAATTAAATTAGACATCTTTATGTTTCAATTTATATTCGAAACTAACGTCGTCAGCCAGACTGACAGGTGTTTATTTTTTCCATTCAACGGTTTTACTAGTGCTTGTGTTAGGTTTAAGAAATAATTACAAATCCATCTTATTTTAATTTATAAATATGTAAATTGATTCTTAGCACAGAAATGTAATTTTTAAATCTATAGAAGTATTTATGATATGAACATATATTGTCAAAATAATAACGCTAAATATAATATAATAATAGACTAGACATATTATTTAACTCGGGACTTGATTTTATTATACATTAATTGCACGGCAAACAAGCCTGACGAATCCACTGCCGATATTTTTAGTCAATTGAGTTTTCAAAAATAAATGAATTTTTCCCTAACAAGTGTACAGGCATTTAGTATAAGTTGAAAAATCTTAAAAAATTATAATTTTTATATCTATAACTATGCTATTTGTAGATGCTTGAGATTACTCTCAACAATATTTTCGCCATTGTCCTTTACAAGGGAAAAAGCTTGTAACTAATCTGTACCTTTACCGAAAAAAGTTCTACGGTGGGCAACTCTGGATATTGCCATTGGTGTTGGATTGGCATGTGGCCAATTGTCATTTGTCAATGTCAATGTCACAACGTAAACAGTTAAACACTGATGATACTGATATCGGTTATCATAATTATGAAGTAATATCATGTTAGAAATTGCTGTTTTGTGACAGGTTCCTTTATATTATTAGTTCAATAGCTAATTGCTTCAACTGGTACAGAGTTACGCGTCACATCTGTATTACATTTTCATTTACAATCAAATGTCAGTGTAAAATACAAAATACAGTTTTAAACTTTAATTGCATTAAGGTAAGCTCGATAAAGAAGCCAATAATAAATCGATTACAAAATACAAGCGCCGTATTGGAACCTAGCACCGTCTTGCTTTAGTTAAATGTCCCACTGTCAAACTATTAAGAAGTATTAAATTCCTTTATGTACAACTTGTACAATCCCTGCAATTTAATAAATATTTGTAAAAGTAAGCACTGTTAGTATCATTTATTCATATTTTGTTAACAAACACTCGTAAGTGAAACTATAATCTTTAATGATAAATCTGTTTTGACTATACTTTTTCATTCACAATTTTACTGCTTGGTTCTTACAAATTTATTAGTATATTTACTTGAAAATTTTGTTTATTTCTAGTTACCTTATTTGTACATTTTACCTTTTTTTACTTTTATCCTTACACTTCGAAGTTCATTTCTTTGTTAATTTTATACTTTATGCAATGTCAGTATTGGTGTTATGATGTATTTTTTATATCTATTATTGTAGTCCAACAAAACCATAGTATATAATTCATTGATATAAAATAAAAAATCTTAGAAATGGTGTCATTGTTGTTGTCAACTGTGACAGTGTAATTATTGAATTGATTGCGGACGGCCAATTGCTTTTGATTTGACTAATTCAGCATACTTGATAAATACGGAATGTGCTCTTTGTGTGACTAAAAATACTTTAAACTTTCAATCAACATTTGATTAAATTTAGACTTTTTTCATGCACTGTTTAACACAAATAAATATTTAGATACATAAAGAGGAGAAACAACGAGAAACTGTGTTCAAATAACGTTTATCTATTTTTTGTAAATATTGATGCAAAGAATGTTGAAGAATAGAGGAGAGAATATTTTTAAGGGGGCACTTGAGAGACAAGAGAATGAGCGGCGCAGGCGACACGGGGGAGGTGGTGGTGCACGAGTGCTCGGTGGGCGCGGCGGCGGCGGACAGCGCGCGCCACGACGCGCTGCTGCTGGTGACGATGCCCGGCGTGCCGGCGCCGCCGCTGCTGGCCGAGGCGGTGGAGGCGGCCGTGCGCCTCGACAGCTCGCTGCTCGAGGTGCAGTGACTACTCTTTACGTAACCTATCGAACGATACTTCATCATCTTCTTTACTGCATTCTGTTCAATCCTACCACTCCTCATTATTTAAATGATCGATTTATATATCTAAATGATTTACACCCTTTTTCTCTCCGTTCTCAAAAGAATTTTTTGTTTAGTACTCCAAGTCACTCCTCTTCCTTCTATGCTAATTCTTTTACGGTTACTGCTATACGTCTGTGGAATTATTTGGATATTTAGATTGTTTAATACTTAAGGGGAGAGCCCTTAAGTATTAAACAATCTAAATATCTTAACATTTTTAAAACTAAATTAAAATTTCATCACCTTTCCTCTTAATCTTCTATCTGTCGTCCATTATATATTATTTTCTGGTTATTTGTATATAATATTATGTATTTCTATGTATGTACTACTGACTTATTCGAAACGCGTACGAAGTGTAAAAATGCGTGCTTTGTTTCAATTGCAGGAAGCTTCGCTGGTGAAGTGCGACGCGGTAGCCGGTGGGCGCCTCATAATCTCGCCCACTGGACCGCTTACGCCTTATGACGACGTGAGGTGGGTTCTATTCTGTTTTACTTAAGAGCTTCGAACTGTGCCAATGAAAACTAATAAAAAGTTTGAGCATTAATGGCTTTGAGTCGAGTTATAAAAATTAACAGAAATTATTATTTGACGTCTCTGCAATCAGTCAACTTTTGGTATTTGGGTGGTGAAGTAGGGAAAGCGGCGCTTGCGGCGGAGCGCGCCAATCGCTGAGGTGGTGACGCGCGATGTTCATTATCGATTAGTGGTGGGCGGCGGGATGTTATTGTATTATCAACAGTGAGGGTTTTTGAAAAACATACATGTTAAAAAAACAACAAACATCGAAAAACAACAAACATACATACACGTTCGTTATATATTTTATATTAAATTGTTATACAGCGTGTCCTTACAATCGCGACAATAAATGAACACGCATATAGAGGCTAACTTTTTAAAATTGTTATAAACATTTACTTTATTTAAACATCAATATTTACAGAGTTATTGAATTTTCCAAAACAAAGAATTTTAGAACACCCTAACGTATAAAACTGTAACGTAAAGTTCATTTGTCATCGTAAAGGTCACAAAGCATATGAATGGTTTGAATGAATGTAAAAGAGACAAAACATACTGCTAGAATAGCCTCTCCGGCTTGTAATGCAACACTGTGGCAACGAATGAAAAGTCTCTGAATGTATGAATCAGTCAATTGTAGTTGTATAGGATGTTACAAATTTTGTTTCTTTTTTACTTAATTAGTTTGTTTGAAAGATATTTTTTTAACTATGGATAACGTTAATATTTTTTTATGATTATTGGCAAGTAGTGTAAGATATGTGTTCATTTACTGTCGCGATGGTAACGACACGCTGTATACAGGGTGGCTTTTGTAAAGGTATAAAATATTAGAAAGTAATCAAGTATTTAAAAACAACAAATTATTATTATTATTCCCGTTAGTTACATAAAGTCATAAAGGATGAATTAATAAAGAAATGTAACATTACTTACACCAAAACATAACCACCAACAATAATCGAACAATTGTTTTATTTTGGTTTAATAATAATATCTTAAAATATGTAGAAAAAAATAATGTCATAAAAATTTTAAGCGATTTCTTTGTTATAGTCTCCGCAGCAGAAGTTAACTGTTCAGAAGGCACAGAGAAAATGTACTTGCTATGTGATAGAATTAACTAATTAATTTCTTTTACAAGTAGTTTTTTACGTATAAAATTGGCAAACGAGCAGGCGGTTCACCAGATATTAAGTGATTACCGACAACTACCACAATTGTAGTGGGTTTGGATGTGTTGTCAACATATTTAAAAGTCGTATCTAGTTAATAATAAGATAGTATTGTTCGCTGATGGTACTTCTTTAGTTTTTAAAGTAAAACAACGTTCTTTAAATTAAGACGATGTAAACAATAGTTTAATGCTAACAACTCCTTGTTGAATAATAAAAAAAGCACCAGAGCCTATGACTGCGGGAAAAGTATTAGTGCTTGTCACGTAATCACGTAGGATCACGCGGGTGCGGTGGCGAGTGCGGTGTAACGGGTGATTTCATCACTTTGTCTAAATTGTTGTTTTTCTGAAGACTAGGCTGCATGGTCTATGAACCTTTGCCTGTTCGAAAGGTCGAATCAAGTAGTTAAGTTCATTTGTTGGTTCTTATCATTTGAGACTGCCACCGGTTCGAATTGAAATTGAATTAATTAGTTTTGTG